CACACACACACACACACACACACACACACACACACACACACACACACACACACACACACACACTTACACATGTACAAATCATAATTATCAAAATTGTACTATCATTGTATTTACTTTCTTTTATTTTTATTCAAAATGTATGATCAATTGTTTTTTTTATTATATTATACTATTATTAAATTAACTCCCCAATAGTCTTTTTTTTAAATATAACCTCTCCCCGTATTCTTAAGTTCTCCCGCGATTGCACTTCGCCCTCTCCTCGGTCACTTGGATTAAGTTCCAAGACCGAAAGTCAGGGCATACGGCCGTACTGGCGCAGCTGGTGTTAAAGTGCGTCCCTCTCGGCGCACTGACCCAGTTTGGGCCCTTTTTAAAAGTACGTCCGACTCGTGTGTCCGTTTAGCAGAGCACGAGCAGAGGTTTCCACTTCGTCCTCCGTTCGACCCCCGGCTCGTTAGGAGCCTCAGGACGAAGCGAAGCGCCTCCCGATTTGCGTCGGTCCTTCCCCACAGCTCCTTTGCGGTCCGGAGCCTGGATACTAACAATTCGGTTCCTTGTTACGTTCACCCCCTCAGCTCCGCATCCGCGCGGAGCTTGGACGTAACAGCATAATGCATCTCGGTTTATCTTAATGTACCTATGTTATTATTTTAGAACACGAATTTATTTTCTAAATAACGTAAAAGGTATTTAAAAAATATTATAGGTACATATGATCCATCTAATTAAGTATAATACAATATAATGCTATGGAATTTCAAAAACAAACCATATGCATCTAATATGCACTAATGAATGATCGTTTTGTGTACACTAAAATGGAAGTTCTTAAAGAAGAATAATTAATTCAACATATTACCGAAGCGTAAAAATATATTTTTTTTAGTACACAACATTATCGATTATTCTTCATAATTAGATTCTGAATAACATGATTGTCATGTTATTTATGCAATAAAGAAATACACATCATGGATAGCACATAATTTCTAACGCTGGTTTTTTAGGAATTCTTATCTTCTTATTGCACGATTTTTCAAACACGCTATTTTTTTGAAGTACTTCTGGTCCGAAGATCGCCGAAGATAACCATATTCTTTATGAACTTAGATATTTTTGGAGTGAAAAATAAAAAATTGATTTGTATATATCGTAAGGTATCCATTCTTCTTTCTCAAGCTAAAGCTTAAAGTATAATTAACAAATTAACATGCTACATATATGTTTGTTGATATAACATTTTTTATTACATTTATTCGAAATTGCATTTTTATATATTTTAAATACACAGTATATATAACATATCAGTATATATAACATACTGATATAATAAATAATATTAACAGTACTATGTTATCTGATTTCCTCAGATGGAAATTTTTGTATTGCATCTTGAAGCTGCATTGCTACAGTTAAATATCTGAAAATAGAGATTCATTTATAAATTATTACTTTCCATATTGTACAGATCTAAAAATGCCTGTGTATTACAATAAAATAACAAATATAGAAATTTTCAAATTGAATGGTGAAAAAGTTGTATATAATTGTAATAGCTGAATGAATGTACATTCTACTAAATCCTAAAATGTAGACCAATCAGATGAAAAAGCTTCTTGAGCATTCAGTGAGCGATTGCACGTCTGGATGCACTTATGGTTTTTGTATGAAGCAATATCTTGAAGTGTCCCAAGAAATTAAAAATTAATATTGTTTTCAAAGGAAAATAATTCTTTTCTTTTTTCCATTACTGTACGAAGTAAAGTTTTTTCAAATTATTATTATTGTATAAAAATCATTTCGTCTTATCTTTTTTGTACGATAATAATTTTACATCACAATATTTTGGCTAATCTATGTTTGAAACATCATGATTTGGCCAATACATAGAAGAGGAGAAAGGGAGTGAGTCCTTCGCGAGGGAAATCGTAATATATACTTATATATAGCAGAAATAAGACATTATTTCTAACTTTTTTTGTTTGTAACTTTTTAACAAGTAACGTCCGATCCTAAAACTTCCTCAAGGTCACTTAGGGCGATTATCTTGACAATATATGTTAAGGTCAAAGTCTTTAGGGGGAAGGGCTGCCCTACTGCATAATTACCAAATTAATATTTTAAGGCTATTTTAAAATATTTTAAGTCTTTTAGGACATATTATTTCAGACATAAACGTCTACTCAGTTCACAATAGACAGTAAGCAACTTTACGTCATCTTATAACTTTTTTTTGTTCCATTCTACCGTGCCCGTACAACTTAATCTCTGATTTGTACCTTCTGCATGGTCGAAAACATTTATTATTTTTGTCTGCAATTCCATATTCATCTTTCAAAGTTTCACATCTTTTTTTATAATCTATAAGCTTAATATTCAATTCCTTATTTTTTCTGTCTCTTTATGAAGTTTTTCTTTTCTTCTTTTTAATTCTTTTTGTAAAAATTTTATTTCATCATAATCAATCTTTTCATCGTTTTTTGTTAAATGTTTAAAATTTTTGCGTTCATCAGAAATAACTTACTTTCTTTTTTAATACCTTGAAGCAAAAAGCACATAATTCGTTAACCGTAATAATAAGTACACGTGTAATAATAATAAATAATTTTGTGCTAATTATGCACTGAATTCCCGACATATAACATGTGTATACAATTGTATGCAATGTACCTCTTGCAATGCTGCGTTATGGCCATCATTAGTAATGGATGGGGATTGCAATTCTTTCGTCCAATTAATCGGTAACTCAGATTCTACTGACGGCGCGGCATCAGGATTATCCTATAAATAAGTTCATTAGTCTTTTGAGACTGTTACTAGTATTTGTTTCATATTTTTAAATATTATTTTCAATAATAAATGATAAGACTTCTTGTTAGCAGAGCGTGGTTGGATGGGTTGAGCCAGTAATTAAGTAGAAACTTATAAATGAACGTAATTTATTGAAAAGTAAATTTTATAATCCGCGAGCGTGCTGTCCTCTCATTTCGGAATTCAAGCAGAGACTGCGAGAGAGAGAGGCTATTTTAAAATATTTTAAGTCTTTTAGGACATATTATTTCAGACATAAACGTCTACTCAGTTCACAATAGACAGTAAGCAACTTTACGTCATCTTATAACTTTTTTTTGTTCCATTCTACCGTGCCCGTACAACTTAATCTCTGATTTGTACCTTCTGCATGGTCGAAAACGGATATCGGTTAATTACGATGAGAGTCGAAGTTTTCCGAGCCGCGCTTGAGTCGAGTACAGTACAGTCACGCATAAAAGTATTGGTCTGTACACTCGAGTACAGAAACGCGCTGAACTCAAATACTTGTATTCTCAATACTGCCGCCGTTCAAGCGTTTCTCGTGAATCGTTATAATGTTTAACTTATTACATATGCTTTTGAAACGATCTCGCGGCAACGCCTTTGTGAATATGTCCGCGCGTTGATTTTCGGACGGAACGTACTCGACTATAATCTCCTTCTCATTTACTTTTTCGCGAACGAAGTGAAAATGGATGTCGATATGTTTCGTTCTTTTATGAAATACCGGGTTCCTGACTAACTGAATTGCACTTTGGTTATCGACGTATAGAGTTGTTTCTTTGTCGCAAGGATATCCGATGTCGGATAACAACTTCCTAATCCAAATCGCTTCTCGTGTTGCTGTTGATGCTGCCACGTATTCGGCTTCCGTGGTACTTAATGTCACCAGTCGTTGCCGCTGCGACGACCACGTGACAGCTCCGTTTGCGAGACAGAAAACGTATCCTGTCGTGGATCTTCGCGTCTCGATATCTCCGGCGTAATCGGCGTCTGAGAAACCTATCAATTCTACATTGCTGCCGCCGCTTGAGTATTCGATACCGTAGTCGATTGTGCTTTTTAGATACGCGAATATTCGCTTTACTGCTCGCCAGTGCGCAGCATTATGATTGCTCAAATACTTGCTCACGGAGTTTACCGCGAACGCGATGTCCGGTCTCGATACAGCAGCTAAAAAGACTAGCGACCCGACTGCTTCGCGATACGGCACACTGCTGGATTTTTCGTCGTTCTCCTCGCTAGGAGATAGTGCTGCGTGCGGATCTGCTGGCACATTTGCTGGTTTCGCTTCCGCCATTCCGAACTTTTCAATTATTTTCCGCGTGTATTCGCTCTGATGAATAATTAGCCGTTTATTTCTTTTATCGCGTTCGATTTGCAACCCGACGAAAACATTTGAATCCTCGACCGTTATTTTAAACGTTTCGCTCAGTCGTTGAATTATTTTCTTAAGCGTCTCTACGTTTTTTGAGGCTACTAGCCCATCATCGACGAACAGCGCCAGATACACTTCGTCGTTTTTGTATTTCCCGGTAAACACGCACTTATCCGCATCGCACTCTTTTAGATTGAACTCACTCAGAAAACTTGTGAACCTCAGGTTCCAACACCACAGAGCCTGCTTTAGACCGTAGAGGGACCTTTGGAGCTTGCACACGACATTTCTTGGATCTTCTTCTATCTTCAATCCTTCCGGAATTTGCATGAAGATTGTCTCTTCCAATTTTCCGTACAAGAATGCGGTTTGGACGTCAAACTGCATTACTTCAAGATTTTTCGAGGTGATTATTGCTAGCAGTATTCTCAACGAATCGTACCTTACAACTGGAGAGAATGTTTCGTTGAAGTCGATCCCCCTTCTTTGCATGAAGCCTCTCGCACACAACCGTGCCTTGAATCGATGCAGCTTCCCGTCGGCATCTTTTTTCACCCGAAAAACCCATTTCGAGTCGATTAGCTTCATTTCCGGCGTCCTTTTTTCGAGTTTCCAAGTGCTACTTTCTTCGTGAGCTTGAAGTTCGTCTTGAATAGCACTCGCCCACTGCGCGGCTTCGGTGCTATTCTTCGCTTCTTCATATGTTTGTGGTACGATGTACTCGGCCACATATGCATCATGCCGGTACCTACTCGGTACTTGAATTGTCGAGCGATTTCTTAGAGCTCTTTGATTTTCCAGGTCCGACGTATCCTCTTGTTCGCAGGCCTCTTGTTCGTTTTCCACTTCTGCTTGTTCTTGGCCGATGCCCCCGTTCTCTTCTTCGTTCTCGGCTTTTGGTAGTGGAAGTATTATTTCATTTTCTTCCTCCATTGGATTCGTTTCCGCCAGAGGTTTGCCGACTTTCTCATTAAATATGACATTGCGAGCTACACTGACCCTTTTCGTTTTCGGATTGTATACTCGGTAATTCGTCGATTCTTCCGTGTAACCAACGAAGATCTGTTTACTCGCTCGAGCATCGAATTTCTGCGTAAACTGTTTGGGAGTGTGCACGTACGCGTCTGAGCCGAAGATTCGAAGATGCTTCAGATTTGGGACTTTCCCAGTCCACGCTTCGTACGGTGTTACTGTACCAGTCGTCCACACGGTTCGATTAAGAACGTATACTGCACAATTTACCGCTTCTGCCCATAGAGTCAGTGGTAGACTCTTCGCGATTAACATCGTTCGCGCACTTTCGACTATCGTCCGATTGTCGCGTTCGGCTCTCCCGTTTTGCTCCGGATTGTACGGTGCCGTTTTCTCCTGATGGATTCCACATTTCTCGAGATATTCGTTCATTTCTTTGTTAAGGAATTCCCGACCATTATCCGAACGAAGCGTTTTTATTTTTCGACCGAATTTGTTCTCTATCATTTTTTCAAAAATTTTGAATTTCAGGTGAACCTCGGATTTCTTCTTCATAAAGTATACGTGTCGGTATCCGGTCGCTTCGTCCTTGAAGGTTAGAAAGTATCTTGATCCACCCACAGAGTTCGTTGACATCGGCCCGCAGACATCAGAGTGAATTTTTTCTCCGGGTTTAATTTTCGTGTTTCGCTCCACTTTCTTATTGAATGGCAGTCTGTGCAATTTCCCCATTTGACACGGTTCACAGAAAACGTCATTTTTGTCCGTAAACGATACTCCACTTACAAGTCCTTTTTTCGCTAATTCGCGAATCGCGCGCTTTCCGACGTGTCCTAGTCGTTCATGCCACACGGTTAAGTTTGTTGTAGCTATGTTCGCTTCTTCGACGCTCCCTTGTTTCGTGACCTTGAAGATCATGCGATACACGTCGTTGCCTTGCTTTGCACCTATCGCGAGCACCTTGCCATCACGCACAACTTCGGCGTAATTATTTTTGAATTGCACGCCGAATCCTTTCTTTGTGCACATTCCGACCGAGAATAAATTTTTGCGCAATTTCGGCACGTGTAACACTTTTTCAATTCGTGCGTCTTGCCAAACACCGTCGATGAGCCTTTTGATTCGCACCGTGCCTTCGCCGGCGACATTGCAGATTTGATTATCACCGAGTGATATCGTTGCGCCAGTACCATCTGTTTTGTAGTCAGTCAACCAGTCGCGTCGGTAAGTTAGGTGCCTCGATGCACCGCTGTCGATCAGCCAGACATCGCTTGGATCGGCCGTCATTATGTGACTTTGTGTCCAGAGCTTACTTGCGTTTCCCGCGCTTTTCAAGATCGATTTGTCCGAACTTTTACCTGATTCGACTACAAATGCGCAGTCACGAGGTTTGTTGCCGTCATCTCGTAGCTTCCGCTTGTTTCGACATTGTCTCGCGATATGTCCCATCTCTTGACATTTGTAGCACTGCACTTCCTTCGTTTCCTTTTTATTTTCGGGTTTTTTGTTCTTAGCACCTTTTGTTTCTTTGGTGCTTCGATTTTTGGCTGTCGCGGTCAGTGCTTCCGACTTCTCTTCGTCACCGTTGAGCCTGGTATCCTCTCTGATCAGCCTTTCTTGTAGATTATCGAGAGTCTGTCGTTCTGGGTCCACACTGTCCCAGGCGACCTGCAATGTACTGAACTTTGTAGTCAAGCTTGAGAGAATTTTCGCTATAATTGTGGCGTCCGATACGTTCTCTCCGATGTCCTTAAGTTGACACGCCATGTTTGTCACCCTGGCTACGTGCTGAGTCGCCGTGTCCGATTCGCTCATCCGATAAGCATGAAATTTCTGCAGCAGACCCAGCTTGTTTGTCACTGTCTTTTGTTCATGAATCAAACATAGTTTGTCCCACATTTCTTTTGCGGAAGTACACGAGAGCACACACACTTGTTGAGTCTCGTCGAGATTCGACAGGATTATAAATCTCGCCGTTGCATCGTCTTTCACGTTTCTCTTCACCTCGGCCGCTTGTCCTTCTCCCTCGGCAGGCTCTGCTCTTGTACCATCAACGACATCAAGAACGTCGTTCATTACGAATAACGCATTTACTTGAGCTTTCCAGCCCTGGAAATTCGTACCGTCGAATGGCTTTATGCTTTTTACGGAGATGCCGACTGACATCGCGGATTTGAGTTTTTCAACTTGCACGCTTCCGACACGTTAACTTTCAGCACTTGAACAATGGCCAACTTCCGTTTTGCGCCACGTGATACTCGCCGAAGATTCGCTCAACACTCACGCAGTTTAGTTGACCGTTAACTGGGCCATAACCTGATAAGACTTCTTGTTAGCAGAGCGTGGTTGGATGGGTTGAGCCAGTAATTAAGTAGAAACTTATAAATGAACGTAATTTATTGAAAAGTAAATTTTATAATCCGCGAGCGTGCTGTCCTCTCATTTCGGAATTCAAGCAGAGACTGCGAGAGAGAGATCACTTAAACGGATATCGGTTAATTACGATGAGAGTCGAAGTTTTCCGAGCCGCGCTTGAGTCGAGTACAGTACAGTCACGCATAAAAGTATTGGTCTGTACACTCGAGTACAGAAACGCGCTGAACTCAAATACTTGTATTCTCAATAATAAATTTATTTCACATATCAATTAATACATAGTAAATTTGCCTGAGGGATATTCATTTTCACATCAACTATTGTTTAAATCATATTTGATTAATTAATTATTGTTTAACACATTAGTATATCTTTCATTCGTTCGACTGAGCTGCAGTATTATTAACTATTGCTTACAAAACATTAATGATTGTACACATACTGTTAATATAAATCAATATCACAAACTGATACACATTATACCGTACTTATCATTATAAGTAAATCAGATAAATGATCATTTTTAACACTACATTTACGAGACCTGTCACACATTAATTTAATGAGTATCCGAAGAAATAAGTACAGAATTTTAAAATTAAAAAGCTGAGAAAAAAATAAATTTGGATATATATTATCATAC